TGAGGTCAAGTCTTTGGAAGAAGGCCAGTGACCGCGTCAAAGTGTTCATTACCTTTGTTACCGCTTGGATATTTCCTTGGGTATATTTTGGGGAGCGCCAACAACAGTGTTTCTTGGCATTTCAACCTTAAGCTGGCTTGACCCGTGTCAGGCGTGGCAAAAGATGCTGCTGGCCAGTCTTCGCAGAATTGGAGCCTCGACCTTTCGATGATGAAGGCTGTGATGGAAAGTGGAAAGATGTTCCTCGGCCTCGTTGATCAACTTTCGGGGCGCCAGCGACCTTGGGTTCAAACCTTGCTGAAGTCTGGTGTTGAGCCTGGAACACTGTCCTCTTCCTTGCGGTCACTCATTGAGTATGACGCTGACCGGTTCCTGCGTGCTGCCATCTCCTATGACTCATTTGTGGGAAATGTTCAAGATCTCGAGGGCAAAGAAGAGGATTCCGGTGATAACTTGTCAACCTTCCTCCATGACCTCCTGTCGTTGATGAGTGGGAAGCTGTTGGAAGGCCTGGGGCATCTGATTTGGTCAACGCGTCCCTGGGCATGGTCAAAAGATCCATCGAGAAATGGATGGCTGAGTTGACGGAAGTCAAAGGTCAAATTGAGAAGTCCCAGATGTTCCAGTTGCAAAAGAAGCTTCTGTCGCTTCTGCCAGCCTTCCAAAAGAATGAAATTGTGGAATGCTTGCCGCCCGTCGATGACCAAAAGAAGAGGGATGAAGCGGAAGTCGAAGTTCAAGAGTTGAACGAAAGCCTTGAACTTAGTTTTTTTCAGTCCAGCATTCATTAATTTGATCAAACTTCTCCTCCCTTTATTTATGAATTCTGAATTCAGGGACCAAAACGCTGATGGCCATCGAGTACAAGATTCGGGTCTGTCACACTGGTCTGAACAGCTCTGAGATTGGAAGCTCGCAGATTGCTGAGTCTGTGACGCAGCTGAACGATGTGTATGGCCGAGAGCCGACAGGCAAATCAATGGGCATCTCACTGGGCAGTATGTATGGATGCGATATCGTTTTCGGGCCGTTGAATCCAAAGCGCGCCATCCACAATGAAATCACCGATTTCTGGAAGTTCATCACCAGCCAGCTGCAGATTCACAAGCGTGACCTGAACAAGACTTTGGTGGACAAAATCGATAAACTGCAGAAGGACAGGATTCGTTCATTGATATGGTACTGGACAACTCGAACCGAACGGGAATTTGAGCAGCATCATCGTTCAGATTCAGACACTAAAGAAACAGCGCAGACTGAATTTGATGGCATTCCGATTCCAATGTTGGCAGGAGTCCAAAGAGAAGGAGAAAGCCAGCATGCCGCCGCCAGCTCAAGCTGCTCCGAGGAGGCGGCAAACCGGCAAGGCCTCACAGTAGTGAGTCAGTGAGTGAGTGGCATTTGACGAAGCCACTCAGGGCTCCGTGTGCTTACTTTGTTGTTCCGTCCTGCTCGTGGCATTTTGCCATCCTTTTCAATGTACTGATCCGGAATCAAAGCGATTGTGATCAGACCCAGACTGTGAATCAGTCATCTTAATTGTGAGCTGTGAGTCATCCAGCTCTCCGTCCAAAACGGACGACAAAGGGAGAACAGAAGCGCAGGAGTCACTTTAATCGAGTGATCGGGGAAAATGATATGTGAACTTGAGCAGTGGTAGACAAACAGTAGAACGGTATCTACACTGTAGAAGCTTTCAGGCTGTCACTGTGTGGATTTTTGTGCCAGGAATGCTCCGGCCAGGGCAGTCGGAGTTCCATTACACTAAATCAAAGGGAACGTGCCACTGAGCTACGCCGTCAATTGTTCGGTGATTTGCCAGACTGTGAGTTTGAGTCGCGCCTTGTATGTTTTTTTCGATTCAACATTTTTTGTTGAGGTGTTGCAGGTAGGTAACTATCACATCAGCTGGTGTGAGACTTCAACTCGGTAGTTGCAAGGCACTCCAACTGGGCCAAGAAACACGTCGGAGCAGCGGTGTGGGAACGTTCAGTACGCCTTCGAGAAGAATGGACTATCGACATGGTTTATAACCTAGCCAAGAGGAAGGGGATATGTCCGACTAATGTGATCTTGGACATTGCGAAGTCGTTTCAGCGCAACGCATGGAGATCTGATGGGAAAGTGCCGACGTTGCTTGCCATTGTCAACAGACAAGTGAAGTTAAGATTCAGCCAAGACTTCCCTCTCACTCACCTGATTTTTGCGGGGGTGTGTGTGTGTGGGGGTGCGATGCTGCAGGCTCACAACGAACTCCCGCCTCTACTCCTACGCATTTGGGCGGGTACTCACCGGTGAAGAACTTCTTTTGCTGCAACTTTGAAAAAATTGAATCTGAGTGCATTTTTTCAGAACTTCAGGTGATGTGTTTTTCCCTTCAACAGAAACATGACACATGATCCTAGGCAAGGGTTCGATCTGATGTCCTTGCACATGGCCGGTTTCCGCCAGCTCTCCCTGTACAGTCTTATGGCTGGAAACTGCATGAGTGTGCCGGTGATCGGAAGCGTATTATTGGCTGCAACCTGGCCTTTGAGCTGTGTTGGGGTGAGGGTGATGTCTCAGGTCACTTATGATTTGATAGGAGATTCGACATTCAGCATATCACATTTATCCTGGATCCTGAATCATTGAAGTTCAAAATCCGGGATGCGTCCCACAGAACCTGGATTCGGATACTCTGCTTGTTTTGCAGTCAACTGATTGTGTAAAGCATTGTCCGCCGAATGAGGTGTTGACAACTGCTTCTTTTGGCAATGGGCGCAGCCACATGAAAAGATCTTGGGCTCCGGCTCCGAATGCCCTGGCATCAAGCCAAACCAGTGAAGGGACTCTTTCTCTAGGTGCGGCAGCTTGGGAGTGCGCCGATGATAGTGACTCCGAAGGAGCTGATTCGGATGTTTGAAGAGCCAGGCTGCCCCCAGGTTCGGATACTATGTAATTTACCATTCAACTGTATATTTTGACCTATGTTTACATACGGTATGATGATGGCTCATGAATCGCTTCGCAAGCAATGGTAGGGGTAGCGGCTCTGTGAAATTGGAACTTACAGTCCGGAGTCCTCTAGTTTTGTTAGATGGTAGAGGCAGAGGTCCAATGTCAGCGATTGCTGGAGAGCATTGCGAAACAATGCCGTTCGCTGATAAAGGATACCGATCCTGCGGACCCTCGCAAAGGAAAACACATGAGTGCTGAATGCTTTGTGGTGCTGTGTACTCAGTATGAGATTGATAAATACGAGCTGCTACTACTACTACTACTACTACTGAGTAACTTAACTTAACTACTAACTATGACTCGACTCAGACTCTGACTAAACTTTTGCTATTACCTGTTGGCTATGCTTTCCAGAGGGTGTGGTTGCCAAGAATGACAGCCAAGTGGTTTTGCCATCCCATTTTGCCAAGGGCATTTGCCAAGCATTTTTGTTATCTAAATTTGCCAAGGTGATCTGCCAAGCATATCTTTCCAGCACCTTTGCCAGTCAATTCTGCCGAGGTGTTTTGCCATCCCTCCACGCCGCCCCAAATAGGGTTCTATTCTTACCGCCCCATCCTGCCACCCCATCTCGCCATCCCATCTCGCCAGCCAAAACGCTCCAATGTTAACCTTACCCTGCCCTAACCAATTTATATTTATTTCATTTTTCATTAAAACCATTACTGATCTAGACCACTTCCAATCTGATCCACCACTTAGCATCGCTGAAGAGCTGGCCTGCGCCCTATTCACACCGGGAAAGGTTATTGGGTGGAACGGTCAATCGATGTCAACGCTCAGAACCCTCACTGGCAGGCGCAGCACTTTGTGAACCTGGAAGTGCAGATTTCGTCGCAGGCACAGCGCCTTGCGAACCTCGGAGTGCAGATTTCGCGGCAGGCAAACCTCGAAGTGCAGATTTCATGGCAGGTACAGCATTTTGTGAACCTCGAAGTTACAGTACATTCATGCCTCTCGACATCATCCACGCGCATTTCGACTGCTCAGGCTCGCAGAATCTGGGTGGCCGCAGTGGGTGCTTCTAGCGACTGCGCTCTCGTTGTGGCGCCGTGCGCATTTTGGTATACGGTGGTCACTCTTCGTGGCAGGCGCAAGGGAAACGTCGTGTTTTGGCGCTCCAAAGTCGACTTTTCGTGTCAGATGCGAGGGATCGGAGCTGTCTTACTTCGAAATGCAGTTTCCGTGGCAGGCGCAGCACTTTGGACATGGTGGTGATCGTCGAAGAAACCACATTTCGTGACAGGTGCAGTGAACCGTGACTTTTGGACATGTGGCTCGTTTGCAGACTTCGTGGCAGGTACAGCACTCTGTGACCCTTGATGCGCAGATTTCGTGGCAGGCGCAGCACTTTGTGAACCTCGAAGTGCAGATTTCGTGACAGGTTCAGCACTTTGTGAACCTCAAATGGCAGCTCACACCTACCCACTCTCCCACTCGCAGACTCTCACTCGCTCTCACTCACACTCACACTCACACGCACACTCACTCACCCACACTCACTCTCACACTCACTCTCACTCTCACCTTCCCTCTCACTCACACTAACTCACACACTCACACTCACTCTCATTCACTCACACTCACTCACTCACTGTCACTCTCACTCTCACTCTCACTCTCACTCTCACACTCACTCACTCACTCTCCCACACTCACTCTCACACTCACCCCCACTCACTCACCCACCTTCAGTCTCCCACAAACTCACACACTCACTCTCCCACTCTCACACAGACACACTCTCACTCTCACCCACACTCACTCTCACTCACACTCGCACTCACACTCACTCTTCCACTCTCACTCACACTCAGACTCCCTCTCACCCACACTCACTCACACCCACCTTCACTTCATCACCACCATCACCTCTCTGGACCCCAATGCGTCTAGATCTCTAGACTTTCTGCTTACAGACCTCACACACACATAATACACATTTTTTGGGGTCTCTTGCCGGGATAATGATTTTTTAAGGGACACTCCTCAGCATCCAGGCCATGAAAGAAGCCGATGCGTTGTTGCACCACAAAGCAACGCCCTTGATTCACAGTAAAGTCGACACTTGGGCGCCAATGGTGTGGTCGTCCTCGATTTCTCTAAGGTGGTCAGTGGCGAGATTCCTGGCGTGATCAGTACCTTGACAAAGGATTCATTCATTTCACTGCTATCCCCCAGCTTTGGCCAAGGCATGGTGTTCAGGTTGGGACTGAATTGTTCTTGCCCACACTGTTTCTGATCAAATTCACTTCTTCCACGCAGGCATGGTGTTTTGGGACACTTGGATTGCTTTGGTTTTGCCGATGTGGAGAGACAGGCTCGAGCGGCTAGGATTGATTCACGGATATCATCAGTCTATCAAAAAAGTCGACATGTTCGCCGGTTCACCTTGCAGGTGGCGATGCGGCCCGACACTATCGTCCGGCTGTATTCGATGACCAAATGCATCGTGTCCGTGACCTTGGGCACCTGTTTGGAGGCGAAACACGAAATCCATTGAAGTCTAATGTTTACAGTTTTACAATATGTTGTAATCAATCTAAACAAACTGTTGCATAATGATTTGCTTGTGAATCCAATGATTTATATGATTATATGAGTCTTTATATTTGCATAGTAGCAGGAAGGGCTGCTTGACCTTGACGATGAGGTGTCCAAGTGCCCTTGTCTTTTGGCGAAATCGAATCGTTGCGGTTGCGGCTCGTGGGTTAGATATGGGTTGGATGATACATGTTGAAAAGACATGTATATAAATAAAGTAAAAAATGCGTGGGGTTGTCAGAAACAAGCAACCGCAGGCGCTGTAAGCATCCGTAAGCAAGGTACATTCCTGCTTTTGCTGCACTTAAAGTCTCAACAGAGGTCGGGTGCCTCGGAGTTGACTTCCCGTGTTTGTATGCGTAGCCTGCATAGACATCCGGCGAGTACGTTGCACTCGTCAGGAAGGACTGGTTGCTGCACAGCGGCCTTTGACAGCTGGATCCCAGTCCAAAATGATCGAAGGGAGGGGAGTTGTGACATTCCAGGTCCTGCACTTGTTGACACATACATCTGGGATCGGCTATGGCCAGAGTCTTGGAAGCTGCAGACCTAGTGATTTCCGGACTCATTTGGAGTCACGCAACCGAGGGCCAATGCTGGGTGAGGAACCAGGATGTGAGGGCGAGGAAGCAAAGTCGCCCGAGTGATATTCGTGTATTTTTATATAGTATACACAGCTTGATATCAGGGCCCAGGGTTCTACATCTCAGTTTGTCAACGATCACACTGTGCAAAACTGAGCAAGCTAAAACATGTCAGGAAAAGGAATTGTTGAAGTTTTAAGTTCTATATAAGTATATAAGGATTAATTTTTCTCGACTGCGTAGCGAAGACAGGGATTCTTCTTTCATATTCGCAACCGTTCGCAACCTGCGAATTAAAACGATAAGGCCCTGCCGTTGGGGGCAGCTTTTTCAGGAGGTCTAGCTTGGATGGAAGCATGAAGCGTCAGATTAGTGTGCAATAGCGCGGAAACGTAACATGTTCAAGTGTGGATAGTTTTGCTGCGCCTGCGCAGCGTTTCACGTCAGCATTTTGCGGCGCTGTACGGAGTGACGTTCTCAGGGTGGTTGTTTGGAGGTGTTGGTCGCTGTGGATGGAGCTCTGGATGCGGCCTCGAAGCTGTGTTTTCAGGAGTAATCATATAGTCTCAGCCAAACTCGCAGTTTGGAAGGATCTGAGTAAAGCAACGGGCCAATATCATTCCAAAGTTGTGTGACAAGAGTGTGATAAGAGCGAAAGCAAAAGTGTGGCACAAACGTGCCCTTCAAGAGTGTCGCAAAAGAGTGTCACCTACAAGGGTGTCCAACAAGAGTGTCACCCCAGAATGTCAGACAAGGTCAATTTCTCCCTCCAAAGTTTGCATGTCAGTCCGAACGTCTCAGATAGCTATGGTTTTAATTCAATTTGTCTCATCCATCGTGAACCAACTCAGATTTGTTATGATTTCATGTTTATATATGAGTTGACTCCAACTCAGTGATGAAGTAAAGGCGAACGTGAGGGCTGAAGAGGTGTTGTATTTCACTCACAGCGTGCCCTTGCAAAGCGCGGAGGAGCGCTACAAAGAGTTGATCCTGCGTGCTGGCCTGGGAAGAAAGTGCAAGAGTTCCGAAGCGGCGGATACCTCAGTCCGCTGTGCGCTTTATCGTCGCAAACAGGAAAGGCTTCAGTATCCTTCATTGAATCGAAAGAGTCTTGTTGCAGTTTGATTCGCCTGACGGAGGTGTGCACACTTGAAAACTGGTGCGATGAGCTGGCTAAAATCCCTTTGCAACATGAACCTGGCACGCAGCCAGGTCCCCAGATAAAGAATGATAAAGACACTGGGAATGGTCAGGGTAGGGGAGTGCGGGGCGGAATGTCAAACAAAATTGCCTTTCTTCAGGGATTTGTTGTGGGCACAAGCAAGCCACATTATACTGTTAACCTACAAGCTGGTTCTGGACTGGCACGGTGCAGAGCTTTCTATATAACCCGTGAGTCGGAGAGGTAGCTCGGTGTTGAGCGAGAGGCGAGCTATCCCTTGGATGTAGCACGATTTGCAAGCGATAGCAAGAAAGCTAGCTCTGGGTCAGGATCGGCTGTAAATGTAGTGCCGGGGCGTTGACCAAGCTGAATGGGCAGAACTTGGCGTTGAGTTGGCTAGGCCTAGGCACTGACTTAGCTAAGTGCTGAGGAGGCTTGGTGGTGATCTTAATTCGGAACCCCACTGCGCCCTAGCTAAGTCCTTAGCCAAGAAAATTGGGGGAATTGCGCTTTTGAGGCAACATAAGTGTCGAGTTAGGTGCGTGTTCAGTTAGTTTGCAACCATGTTGAATGAGCAGCGCTGGAAAAGTAGAAGTGATGTATTTGCAAGTTGTCATGATTCGTGGTTGTTCCATGTTGTTCCAAGTGTTACAGTTGAACTCTTGTGTGATTTGTTCTGATTGCCCATGATGGTTGTCGACCTGCAGCTATTCCGATGTTGGAGGGAGCGGGAGAAACATGGAGAAACTCTTGTGCCCCGGACGGGTTTCAACGAGCTTTGGCCGGATCTTCCAACCAGCCATGTATGGCAAGCTTTGTGTTTGTCGCAGAATCCTGCGCCTCACACGGAAAAACTATGCTGTGCCACGGGCCATGGGTTTTCTCACCAGGACCAGACGCCCACGAGTGCCCGCGTGCCACAGTCGTTCGTTCGCTTGCTGTACTTCCATTACTGTATCAGAACAATTCGTGAATCTAAAATAATCCAATACTTGATATGTTTGTAGGTGGCTGTATGGCTATGGTCATGATGTGGTTGGACGCATCATCGAGGCGCCGGCTCTTTTGGTGCCCAATCGGGCCTGCTTTGGCTCAGCATGTTCAGCTTTTTGAACGATTGCTTCATTTCAAGAAGCACCAACGCTGACCGCTGACCAGGTAGTTACCGGAAAGAGACTTGACATTGTCATCCGGGACAGGGTCACGGCGCCTTTGAACATGGCCGCTTGCAATTTGACCAGGGGTGTGCTGAGCTATGTTGATACTGTAGGTGTTGTGTGAGTTCATAATTATATATGTCTGGGTCCTCCCTTCAGTGGGCCTGCCTTTACGGTGGTTCCAGGCCCTGCTCTGCTGGTCACAGAAGTTGATTGGCTTCCTTCGTTTCACAAGACCACTCGTCCATATTGCGTTTTTGGACTATTTTTCTTGGCATGCGTTCAATTATATATATATATAATGTCATATTATAAAGTCGCGGTATCCTTCAGGGTGCCCGCAAAATTTTTACCTTGCGTGCCAGTGCTGTGCTCGAATATCGGTGCTTCCGTGGCTTCCATGGCCTTCCTCCCCTGTTGTGCCCCGTCTCTCCGCTGTGATGCTTTGTTTTGAAGCCGGTGTTGTTGGATACGCACCCTCTCAAACTCCTTGTCTCTCCATGTGCCTGTTCTTGAACCCCGCGTCACTGTTGCTGGACCCTGTGACCCTTTTATATATCCCATGCAGCTGTTGCTGAACCCATTCCAGGAGTTGCTTACGGTGTCCCTGTTGCCACACGGCTCCCCTTCCAATTTGTTCTTCGTGTACTCGGCGCTTATGGATGGATGGCCTTCTATTGATAGATCACGATGTTTAGGGCCATAATTCTGAGATGGATATTTCAACATGCAGATGCAGGCAAGCTTCAACAGTGACCTACTGTATTTGTCTTGAGCAAGTGTCCCTCCTGGAACAGTCACGCAATGTCCAGAGTAACAGCCCTGATCAGAACCATGTGCATTTGTTTCTCGCACGGATTTGCAAAGTCTGCAGGTTGAAGTTCCAAAGGCAGTAGTTGTTCCACCTTCACATGTGTTCTGAATTTCCACTCCTGAACGCTCATCCCCAAAGGAATCGAGTTCTTGAAACTCAAACAATGACATGGACAAAGCTTGCCTGACAGCTCATTGAAGCGTCCCCCACACCGGAACAAATAGGGGTCCAAAATATTTACACGCTTCTGTGGGTCTCTCCTGTCGCACCCCTTTAGATAGACCAAAAAGTGCTCCAGAATGCTCCAGACGTCTTCGTACGAAGCTTTTTGGAAAGCCAGCGATGATCAAACCTTCCAGGGTCCAGGGTGAGGAGACTCAAGAATTTCTCTAGGTGGTTTGACTCTCACGCTGGGAGCATTCCGGAGAGTCAAACAATGATCTTGACTGCGTAGTGGCGCAATGTAGAGGGACAATTTCATAGTCTTTTTGGTACCCCAATTTGATCCAATTTGTATCAATAAACTGTGTTGCTTTGCCTTGGGATTGGGACGTGGGTTTGTCAAGTTTTGCATTGTTCTAGGGTGTAGTAGTAGAAACCCTAAAAACCTAAACCCTAAAAAGCAAATTGATGCGGAGAAAGCACTTTTTCACGCAGGATCCCTGCCTGGCCTCTTCAATTGCCCGCGCACCGCTCCCGCTGTGCGTAGCGACCCATCCATTGATGATCAATCGAACCACCGCGTCAATCCAGCCACCTTTGCTTTCATCGTCCGAAGGAAGTCTCGCGACTGGACAGGGTTTTGCGAAGGGTAGTTTTCCCGTAGCTTCACAGATTTTAGCAGCTTCGCTGCTCCGGTCGGGGCGCGTCCGAACCATGGCCCCAAACTCGAAATTTTTGAGTTTGTATTTGTTATTTAATGCGTCCAGTTTATGGAGAGTTGGGATGTTCGACTTATATAGGCGAAGCAGACAAATTGAAAATGCTACTACGTTAAAAGCATATGAGTCAGAGTCAATATTATCGTCATGTAGCTTAGCTAGGGTGTTTCACGCAGCTAGTGTTTTTGTGTGTTCCTTGAAAAACGATAGGGCCAGTGAGATGGGAAGATCCTCAGAGAGTTGTCAGAGCTTGGAGCCGTTTTGGCCTGCACAGCAGGGGTCTACTCAGCTTGACCTTGATCAATGGGAAGAGCTCGAGAAAGAGTGCGGATCCGTTTTTGCTTCGATGTATGGGCGATTTCAACGATACCCGCACGATACCTCGCCAGGTACGTTTGCTCAGCCAAGTGACAAGATCCCCACACGTACACTTGGTTTGCTGCTGGCTGCCTGCTGCTGCTTCTGCTTGCTGCTTTGCTGCTGCTGGCTTGCGGCTGTTTATGTGCCCCTCTTTGTGCGCTAGTGCTTAGTTGCTGACCAGCGGCTAGTGTTCAACTGGCTTCAGGATTAAGGATCCTGCTTGCGTCATCTTGCGTCCACATTTGTAATACCATTCTGACTATATTTGTGTTATGCCCAAAGTGCTGAAACCTGAGAAACAGTGAATGCAGCCCCAACCTACAAGTTTGACGCTGGCTCATAAACCCCAGAGCATACCACATAGTCAAACATCCCGGCCCGGGAACGTCAAAATCCTCCACTCCCTTCTGTCCTTAGGATCCTTAGGATGATGAACAATAGCGGAGAGGTTTCTTTCATAAAACATCACTTGTGAGCACCACCTTGGCCAGCTTGAAGCTTGCACCATTGGATGTTTGTGGTGAGGGTTGTTGAAGAGTATAAGTTGACAAATTGGAAGTGCGGTACGTCGCCAAAGTCTTTGCAAATCGAAATTCCAGTCAAACATCAATTGTCAATACTTATATATTCCTATTTTTGGCGGAGCAGGGATTCTTTGCAGCGTCCTTATCCACTCCTGACGAAGTGTTCATCCCAGGTCGACACGGGCTTTGAGATACCGGCAGCAAAGTGGCCCAGCCGACAGTTTTATGCTTATTCAGCTTGGCAACCCCCCTGATATATATATATATATATATACCGCCCAAACTGCAAACAAGCTGATAGTTTGAGAGGTGGAGTCGCGCCGCCGGAATGCTGTGGCCTCAGCTACAATTTCTGGAGGCCACCTTGCGCCGAAGGGTGCAGACTGTTTTCAAGGTATCGACTTCACCGAAGAATCAGAAGGGTGCGTCGCCCCAAAAAAATTGGTGCGTATCGTTTGGGGCTCAGGCCACGCAATCACAATTCCGAACGAGACACCGAATCAATCCTGCAAATGATTATCAAGCTGGATCTCCAGGACGCCCCGACCGTTGGATCCAACGAGCTTAGGGCTGAGACGCTTTTCGATCAGCTTATTTTTTTCACCCCTGTTGTACATATACATCGACCATACCGCGTGGACTTTGGCTCAAGAAAAAGGTGTAGCTTTTTTGCTGTTTCCTATCTGAAATAAAGTTGCCGTGGATGAGCTCATTGACGACCGCCCTCTGCTGGGGTCGTGGTCTTGCAGACCTGCTCACGAAAGCGGAAGAGCTGACGCAGGAGATCGTCGCCCGCAATGAGATCGAGTCGAGTACAACGGGCGGAAAGTCATCATTTTCGTCGCTTGGTCGGGAAACGATGTCTTCGGTGAGGGCGGTTATACGCCGGTTGTCGGTGGATCCATCAAGCCCGACACTTGAAGACAGAGGACGACCGGAAGGTCGCTGCCGATTGGTGCCTGAATCAAGAGGCAAGGGTGAAGGCAGCGATCGATGCCATCCCCGCTCTCAAGAATGGGGTAGGCGTCTGGGACCTGGTGTTGGTCGGCAACGCAGATGCTGCCGACTACAACCTTGTGGACCAGTACACGCGGGAGATGACCGCGTGCTACTTTGACGCGTTCCACAAACACCGGGTTATGGCACTCGACCTGACGCCCATGAATATCGGGGCCCATCGGTACGATGGCAAGCACATGGACGACTCAGACGCCTCGAAGACGGCCGCCTCGTCATGGTGGACAGCGGCCATAGGATTTCACCACAGCTACTTGCGCTACCTCCAGGCTCAACCCGAAATGGAGCGAGTAGCGGTGATTCCTGAGGGCGATGGCTTGTTCAACGAGTCCGTGACCAAGGAGCTTTTTGCGTACCCAACAATCAGGGAGGTACGGCGTAAGCTGAATGGTATGCTAGCCGGAAGGCCAGCCGAACATCGTCTACGCAGGAGCAAACTGACGTCATTGACGGATGTGATGCTGAGATTGCACTATGGGTGCAAGAAGCGATGGAGGAGGCTGCCGATATGGCTGCTGATGATCTCGTTGGCGAACACCTCTCCGAAGAGCAACCAGCGCTCCACCCCCCCGATGAGTGCGATGAATCGGATGAAGAGGAAGAGCGCATCAATGCGATCAAGAAGGCTGACAAGGACGAGGCCATTGCCGACGGTGCTGACGGCGCCCTAGACGAGCAATGGAACTCGGTGGCCGAGCCGGAGATGCTTGACTTCGGCATGTGGAGCAAGGTGAGCGCACCGGGCGTCAACGTCGGCCAGGTCGACCCCGCCCCTCCCACGGAGCGGGAGAAGGCAGAAGAAGGTGACATTGAACCGTTAAGTCAGCCGAGATCGAGGAATTCCCCGGCATGTCGCTCGACGATGACCTGGACGCCAAGGCCGGTGAGGGCAAGACGGCCGATGATGATGTTGAGATGCCCGACTACGGAGGCGATGACGATGAGGTCGAGGTCATTGAAGATGACGACGATGAGAAGCCCGCATCGGGTGAAAAACGCAAGCCCGAAGGCTTGCCGGAATCTTCTGCTGTTGGTGCTGCCGCCAAGGTAGCCACCAAGAAGACGCCCAAGCCATCTGAGCCTGCCCCGAGGCGAAAGGTCCAGAAGATCGTCCGGTACGATGACACACATGAGCGTGACGTGCCACAACAGTTGCAGCCCGGCGCTCAGGCCTATATCGGCCCAGAACATAATGCTCAAGGTCCCGGTCAGACCAATGAACGAGAGGCTCGTGGAGATCTCGCACAGCCTGTCCAACCACTTGAGAGGTGTTCAGGAGGGGCGCCGGCGGCCAACGCCGCAGTTCAATGACGACGGATCATGAACTGGAAGGCCCTCATACGCCAAGTGGGAGCCGACTGCAGTCAAGGCCGCGCAAGGGCACGAAGACTGGGTCATCGACGCATCGGCAATCGTGCGATTTGCCATAAGAGATCTATAAGTCTATACTCTCGACGACGATTTTGACGTCGAGAAGTTGGATCGGGGCTATCGTCCGCGGTTCAACTCAGACCCAGAGACTTCGCACTCGTACACTACCTTTCCCCGCATTGCGATGCAGCGATATCATCAAAAACGGACTCGTCGTCGGAGGCTTTCCCTGGAAGACCGGGCGCGGGCGCAACTACTTTACGGTCACCCCGCCATGGATTGCCAATATGAGAAAGCTCGCGGGAACGCGAGCCGGTCAGCCGATTTACCTCGCCTTCGACACTGAATTGATGATTCAGGAAGGCGTGAGGCTCTTCCGCACAGATGCTGCTATCCTCTCTCCGGATTGGATTAGCAATACGTTCGCGTAATAACGCCCGGGACGCTTCATTCGTGTGGACAAATCCGGCCTATCCAAAATTAATTCCGGAATGATTACCACGCGTCCATCAAGGGAATTCCAAGAGGCGGATCCGAATCATCCTGCAGCTCCAGCCCAGTATCAGCTTTCAAGACTGGGGACGATGAAGAACTTTATGTTGGTCGACAACTGGAGCGACGTCAAGTCCAAGATTGTCAAGGGCGCAGTCAACATCGTCCGACCACCTCGTGAACTCGAGGGTGTGATCGACGAACTCGCCCAAACTGATGCTCGCCGGAAGGCGCAGCCCGGTGAAGAAGCTGAAATCAGTTGAAGGGATACATGCTCGCACCATGCGCCATCGTGCAGAACTCAGACATTGCTGGGTTGCGAAGTGCTCATCGCAACCGCAACCGGCCATGGGCACGAGTATCCGATGACTACGACCTCGAGCCGAAGGACGTGGCAGTCAATGTCATCTTGCGAATTCCGGTTGAGACTTGCAAGACGCCCTGCGCGGCACCGAACATTGGCAGGGGGGCATTCGCTGTGATTATTGCAAAGCCCACCTGACGGTGTGGCCGGATGCACGCATTGCAACTGAAGCCGCGCGAGCACAAGCTGAGGCAGACTTGCAGCAGACCACCTGCGTCATGGAAGACTTGATCAAGCGGATCCCCAGAAAGGCTCGGCAAACCAAGTCTGCCGAAGAGGCCGGGGACACGGAGCGCAGAGGCGCACGGTCCGCTTTCGGAGTCCTCCGTGATAACGCTAAGGCCCACATCAGGCAGGCCAAAAAGCGTGGAGCAGCCACCTTGCGTGAACAGCTAGAGACCGACCCTTTTTACGCTGTCAATTGCGCTCGGGCAAATCTGACGCCAGACGCATTGGACTTCTTGCAACGGCTTGGCCGTAGCATGAACCCCAAGTTGGGCCGATCTGCCGAGCAGAGAAAAGGCAAGAAGGGCAAGGGCGGCGGCAAAGATGAGAAGGGTGGCGAAGAGCAAGATGAAGCCGAAGCCCGTGCCACTCGCCTGTGCTTCATTTTGAAGCTTGAGCGGGCTGATGACGACCCGGTGAACTTGGCAGAGGAAGCTTTCATAGCACACAAGTGTCGATTCCTGACATTGGCACAATTCGCTACTTATGTTGATTTTGCCATCTTGCAGAAGCACCTGCCTCCTCCGGTAGTCGTCGGCTGGAACGAAAAGACTTGCCGGAAGGCTCGGCCAAGAACATCCTCACAGACCTTGTGTCATTCGCCCGGTTAAATTGGCCCGACGCAGCAAGCGAATACGGGCACAGCTTGACTGTGGTTGAGGGCAAGGCCAAGGGCAAAGGCAAAGGCGAGCAGCAGCCGAAGGGAAAGGGCAAGTCAGAGCCGTACAAGGGCCAGGGCAAGAACGAGCCATCCAAGGGCACGGACAAGGGAAAGTCCAAGGCAATGCCCGAGCGGGTCTACTATGGCGATCCCGAATGGGCTGGCTCTTGGAGCTATTTGTGGATGTGGACCACTTCGAGGGGATGGTACTGGCAGTGGGATCCCTAAAATCCTCAAATCGGCTGCGTTGTGTGACTTCCATGCTAACGGGAACGTTAGCCGGAATGCTTTCTTTCCTATGTTGGTATGTGAAGTATTTGGAGTTCATGTTTGCGACGCTAACGGGAACGTTAGCCGTCTTTACCATTCTTGGCTAATCGTTTCAATAGCGTTGCGAACCGGAAGGTTTGCCGTGTCCATTTTGGCTGGCACGCCTAGTGCATTCATCTTGTCAATATTAATTTACGGCATGTGGCACCATTGGCGCCAAGACTGGAGTGGTAATGCTCCCAGTGTGCTAGGTGGAAACCTAAGCCGTATCTTTTGCCTTTTGCGGCTATTCGCGTTGAGCGCAAAAAGAGCCGAACCTCATTTGCAACTTTCTCCACTACAACCACGCATTCGTAGGTCCAGTATATTGTACATAGTGTCGCAGCCTGTCCTGAGGTCTACGGCGGCTGCCTTTACTGCCTCTTCGGTGCTGCCAGTGAACTGGCGGCGCCGCGGGGAGTATTTTTTTCACCGCTGTTGTACATATACATCGACCATACCGCGTGGACTTTGGCTCAAGAAAAAGGTGTAGCTTTTTTGCTGTTTCCTATCTGAAATACAGCTGTCTCCTGTTGGAGGCCGCTTTTCAATGTCTCAAGGCCTTTGGTGCCGTTGGAGGAACTCTACTGGCCAAAATGGGGCTAATATACTCAGTTCATCATTTAGAAGCTGTGTTACTGAAGCGCCCACTGAAACCAATAACACTTTACCACCTCGGCCGGCTGCTTTGCACGTGTGGGGGCCTTGTTTTTACATGCTGCTGCTCCTCCGCGTTCTCCCGTTTGCCGCCTCCTTCTGCTGCTCAATCGGGCGTCCCTGGTCCCTGGGTCACCTCCGCTGCTTTCCCCTTTACTGTTGCTACCGTCCGCTGGTACGGCGAAATTGCGTTTGCGGTGTCGCTATGGTGTCGCTGTGCCACGTACGGTTTAGCGAGGCCTCGGTGGAATCCGTGTTTGCGCCGTTGGGCAGGGAACACGCCTGCGCAAGCCTGGCGCGTTGCTGATGAGCGGGATGATTGGTAGTGTCAACAAGGCTTAGTGTCGCAACGTTGCATCCAGTATTACATAGGTCACGCATTTGGTGTCGGTATAAACGCGTTTTTCACCGAGACACCGTTACACCGAGACACCGATTGAAGCCGCGATTACACCGAGACACCGAT